ATAGTATAATATATCCACCTCCACATACAGATATATAAAAGTGACCCCACCACTTATTAGTCAAAGATCAGTAAGTTTGTTTTTTCCATTTCTTTCTCAACAGTCACTTCAACTTTACATTAATGGAGTTAGTTTCATTAATTATAAATCAACTTCATATAATATGAATAAAATGATTTCTCATTAGATTGTGGCTTGATGGTATATTAAAGTGTATTTTTATTTATTTATTTTTAAAGATTTTATTCATTTATTTGACAGAGATCACAAGTAGGCAGAGAGGCAGGCAGAGAGGGAGAGGAGGAAGCAGGCTTCCCACTGAGCAGAGAGCCCAATATGGGGCTCCATCCCGGGACCCTGGGATCATGACCTGAGCCAAAGGCAGAGACTTTAACCCACTGAGCACCCCCCCACAGGCGCCCCTGAAGTGTACTTGTATTTTTAATATACATAGAATCCAGAAGATTTTATTAACATTACCAGCATGTCAACAAACCCTGTCCTCAATTTTGAAGTTTTGGAAAAGCCTTTGGTGTGAACGATTTATTACATTGTAGCCTCTTATAATCTGATAGCTGGGCTTCTGTTATAACACACTTCTCACCAGTTGTGTGACCTTCGGCATGTTGCTGAACTTTTCTTGTCTGAAGCTCATCGTCTGTAAAATGGGGCTAGTAGTAATAGCCTTCTTCATAACAGAGATGAGTAATAAATGAATTTTATGCGATGTTCTTGACACACTGTATCAAGTAAGTTTAACTTTTGTTATTGTTACTGTAAGTATTTCAGTGTTAAGGGGTTCTATTCCTCTGTCCTCTCTTCAGTAAATAAAGAATGGGTTCTGTAAATGTGGCAAAAGTCAGTCACAGAAGCTTGGGTGTTAAGAGTGCTAGAACTTACCCACCCACATTCACCCTGATCTACCAGAACCGTGTTCCATTCTCTTTTAGAGCATCGATGCAAGTTAGTGTTTTACAAAATCGGAGCATCCTAGAGTGAAAGGAGAGCAAGTTCGTATGCATGTACCTCAAATGGAATTATTTTCTCTTTACTCCTTTCCTTCTAGAAAGAGCAGGGGATTTATTCTCAGTGAAACTGTGTTCCAGTCCTCATTTTGCCTCGTATTAGTCATAAAACCCAGAGTTAGTGGGTAAATTTTCTGAACCTCTTTTCTTCCTTTGTAACATGGAGCTGATAACACTTTCTCCCGTTGGCTAAGTGTCACTTATCCCAAGCCTCTGCCAGTGTCACTTGGATTCTGTGAACCTTCACTTGTCCATTCGTGAGCTGGGTCAGCATTGGTCCCCCATCCTCTAGCAGAGTAATTTCCCACACCATTTATTTTCTTATTTGTCTCCCCTATAGATTGTGCAACCGCAGGCATGTGCATCTCTGTCTTGTTCACATTTGCAGCGTGCACATGAGGGCATAGTTGATGCTTAGTTAAAATCTCTAGCCCTGAGAAATCAGCCCTGGCAGCCCTCTAACTTGGACCACTCCACTGTTAATTTTATTCCGATAATGGAGGGGGTGATGCCCTTACATGCAAAGAACCATGTGATATATAATCCTGGACACTTGCCGGCTATGTCACTCCATGGGACTCGGCTCCTCTAAAGAGTCAGGCAGGCTGGACAGGATTGTCTAGGTGCGGTGATCATGCCATTTATCATTTTCTTTTTGTATATATATTTTTTGAATTGGGAAATGACAGGAATATAATACATCTGTGTTGGGGAGCCCATGAGGCTGAACTCATCAGTTTGCAAGGTTTATGGTCTTTAGGCACATTGTCAGAGATATGTGCTCATCCCCTCATGTTAATTCTGTCTAGCCTAACAGCATATTTGCCCTTTAGAAATGTAATTATGTGGAGACTAATTAGTGGGCTGCTGCAGTTATTTAGGTGACAATAAAAGATACAGAGGGCTTTGACAGAGCTATAAAGCTAAACCTTGAGAGGCAGAATAAAGACTTATAGAAAGAAGCATCAGGGGGCTTTGGGGACTTTATAAAACATGGAATTGTGAGTATGAGTGAAAGGTCCACAATGATAACCAGGTTACCGATTTTAGTAAATGCAGTGAATGACAATCCTGATTGCTGAGGAGATTTTTTTTCCTTCTTTTATTTATTTCATTTGTTTATGTTTTTATTTACTCTTGAGCAGGAGATGCTGTTTTCAATTTTTGGATGTGTTGATTTTGATATTTCAGCGAGCACTGAGTTTGACGCAGCTCAGGAAGCTGTCAAAAATAGATCTGGATGTCAAGAGAGCAGTCACTCTTTCAGAATTGAGAACAGTCCATCTATACACGAATGCGTGATGTCATACAGAGACTGTGTACAAAGTAAAGAGAAGACAGAGCCCTCGGAAGCACCAGCTTCTTGTAAAGGAGTGTATGAATGCTCCTAAAATAGGGACAGCTTTTTTAGTCTCTGTGGGATGGTCCCAGGCCAAGAGAACTAGGGGGAACTGGTCTGTAAGAAGCAGAAGACAAGAGAGTTTCAGGAAGGAAGAGGAGTTACAGTGTCACAAATGCAGTAGTTGTGTGGGCCATTCATAGAAGCCCATGATTTGGGAAGGGTTGATACTTAGAGCCGGAACGGGATTTAGGACGTATATGGGATTTGAGTCACTGGACATTTATACTATTGATTATTCTGAAAGGAAATCTGAGTCTGAGGAGAAGAAGAAATGGTAGAGGTGGAGATTGGACAAAGTAAAGGTTGTAGAGGTTTTTCTTCCTTTCTGTGCTAAGGGGCACATGAACATTTTTTTGTATTTTTAAGGCAAAGGGAACTGTAAGGGACAAAGAGATTGAACATATTAGATAAAAGGGGGCTCATGGAAAGATTTTGATTCCTAAAGGAGGTAGAAAAAATACGATTAAATATCTTGATGGTATTTCTCCTCTGGTACCATTAGCCTTGTATCAAAGGAGAAGGACCTTGTTATCTGAATCTCAATGGAAAGCGATAAAGGCAATTAAGGTGGTAGATACGTTTCTGAAATGAGATAATGCATATGAGCTTAGTTAACCGGAAATCCAGCGTTTTATCAATAAAGTTATTATTGTGGAGAAAAGTATTCCTTTTACGGAATGCATGTGAGTCTTCTTTCTCTTTAACAGTTTTACCTTTTTTTTTTTTTTAAGAAGAGACTCAGGTCTTTACAAAGAGTATTGCATCCCTTTTCTCCATTAAATTTTTTTTATGAGCATTGAAGTATAGTTCACATACAGTGTTATAGTCGTTTCAGGTATATACCTACTTTTAAAGACAATTGAACATTTTTACAAACTCTTGAGTACTGCAGGAAACTTTGTTTCTAGCAGCTAAAAAGTATACTCAGCAATAAAACATATCAATTTCATGAACAAATTGTTGCTCAAGGGATGCCTGGATGGTTCAGTTGGTTAAGCGGCTGCCTTCGGCTGGGGTCATGATCCCAACGTCCTGGGATTGAGTCCCACATCGGACTCCTTGCTCGGTGGGGAGCCTGCTTCTCCCTCTGCCTCTGCCTGCCCGTGCTTGCTTTCTCTCTGAAAAATAAATAAATAAAATCTTTAAAAAAAGTGTTGCTCAAAACTTTTTATAGACATGTATATTTATGTATCTACGTAAGTGATGTTTGGTCTATTCAGGTGACTTTTAAACAACTATTAGAGTTAGTGAGGTTTGGGTGCCTGGGTGGCTTAGTCAGTTCAGCGTCTGACTCTGGATTTTGGCCCATGTCCTGATCTCAGGGTTGTGGGATCAAGTCCCATATCAGGCTCACAAGGTGGGCATGGTGCCTGCTCAAGAGTCTCTCTGCCCACCACCTCTGCCCCCAAAAGCGAAGGAAAAGAAAAAGGAAAAAAAAAAAAAAGTACTAGGTTAAGCTTTGCTAATGATACGAGTGGGCAGACTTTAATTTTGAAATGATTTTCTTCGATATATTTTCAGTGCTGCCCATTAAATACTAAGGTGAGTGTTTTAAAAATATTCTCCAGAATGATAGTTTTTATCAGGAGCCTGCTCATTTTGCAAAGGCCTCAGTAGCGGGCAAGTGGACTCTGCAGTTTGAGGTTGAGAAGAGCAGTACTCAGGCTGGATAGAGGTGCCAAATGTCTATAATGTACTCACTGATTACAAGAGAACAGGCATAAGCCAAAAAGCCTCTGAGAGAGCTTTCTAAACTTAGTCCTGCTCTCTGACACTGAATTTTCATGGATATGACTACAATTGATTGTGATTAGGTCATAAGGGTGGGGTCTGGAATGATGGGTAATCCCTGTGGCCACTGCCTAATGGGCTTCCTCAGGAGGCCCATTGCGGGGTCTGAGGGTCAGGAGGCAAAAATGTGTCTCACAACAGTGAAGTGAGATTTGCCCAGTGTTCTACAATTCAGACTTACTTGACTGAATCCAGAAACTAAGGAGATAATAATGTGGATAACCTTCAATCTTTTTCTCTGTTCCTTTATGGCATCTGATTAAATTCTGACTCTCTTTATCCTATTGACCCAGATTACCTTTTGTCATTCAGGCAGTCACGGTGTTTCCTCAGTAATGTGGTTAGTGAGAGAGACACCTCATGTTCTCATGTTTAAATGTGTGTGTGTGTGTGTGTGTATGTGTGTGTGCGTATCACTGCCTTAGACAAGTTTCCTTTATGAACTGATGAAAAACTGTGCTTGCTCCAAGAAGAAATCCAGGTGGTTTGTCATTCCAGTGGGAGAGAAAAACTGCTGGAAAGGGAAAAGTTCACTGGGGGTAAAGCGCTCTTTGAAAATACTTCTTAATACTTTCTAATGCAATATAAATGTAGCTGATACCTCTCCAGTGTTTTCTCTCCTGAGGAATCATTTCCTTCTATTAAGAATTTGTTTTTATAGTACCAGGTCAGCATTTTTACAGTCCCTTTGACCATTTTTATTTTTGAAATATAAAATACAAATTTGTGGTTTTATGGGTAGTAATACAGTCCTTCTCCAAATTTCTATTTTCCTCATGCAGAGGGTTACTTCTACAGGAGAACAGCAGGTTTGCAGAAGCATTACATTATTACAAATTGGCGATCGGAAGCCGGCCTACCCTGGCTTGTAAGTAATAATTCAAGTTCTTTGAAAGCACCTCTTTTTTTTCCGCTTCTTTATCCACGAAAATTATTTTGGTGACTTACAGCCTCAGAGAGAAAAAAACATGCTATTTCTATTTCTGAACACTTACCAATCAGATTATGAGCCTCTACCAATTACATCTTTCTCCATTTAATCAAGTTTTAATATCCATTTATCATTTTTTACTATATTAAGATAATGAAACTTTTATTCATCTAGAGTTCAAGCTGAAAATATTTTGAGCTCTTTGAGGGCCAAGCCTACCCACATAGTTTTCATTGACACCTGTAGTCCTTACTACATTGTTTGTCCCATATATATTTGGTCCCTGAGTATTTATTTCTTGATTTTCTCATAAAATCAAAACTAATCCATAGAAAGTAAGTTGGAATAAAGATAACTTTATTGTTGTCACAGGGTACATCATCTTCTCATTTATGTTTCCCCTTCTTTCCCCCCTCAGCTGCATATTTAAACACCGGTATTATTCTCATGAACCAAGGAAAGACAGAAGAAGCTCGACGCACGTTCCTCAAGTGTTCTGAGATCCCTGATGAAAACCTAAAGGACCCTCATGCACATAAGAGCTCAGTTACCAGCTGTCTCTACAACCTGGGCAAACTCTATCATGAACAGGGACACTATGAGGTCAGGCCCAAACCCCGGCCTTTTGCCTTCCCCAGTGTTGTTGGTCCAAGTCTCCATATTTTCCACCCTGAGATCTCATTGCAGAGACATTATGATCACTTCAGAAGTTAATACGAGTTTTTACTCAGATAGTTTTATGGTGAAATTCATTTGGAAAAGAACCTCTGCTAAACAAAACTTAAGATTTCTTTGCTGTGAATTTCTCAGAGCACTTGTGACTCTTCTAGAAAGGGATGTTAACATGCATTGTGTCTCAAACTTATTTGCTTATTAGTCTGTTTGATTTTATGACCCAAGACAAGTTATTATTATTATCTCATTTCCAGGGTTTGGTGTTAAAAAAAATACATTGCTTGTACACTTGGGTATTAAGGAAGTGATTTGGTGCTAATCCTACCCATTTATTTTAATTATTTTTACAATAGTAATAAAATGAAAATTAATTTTATTTTTTTAATTGGGGTGAGAGGAAGAGTAATGGAGATGGGATGTTGCAGAGGAAGCTGGGAGGTGTGTGTACTCTTTCCCTTACAAGAAGCAAACCTGCATGGGTTTCTTCTCTAACATTTAATATTGTTCCTCCTTACCTTTCTCTCTGTCAAACCCATACTCTTACACCATATATTAAGACTGCAATATAAGGATAAAGATACTGTTTTTTTAAATAATTTCATTTTATAATCTCAGTAGATCTCAGTAGCCAGAAGACTATTAGTTGCTGTTTTGTTTAGATCCTATTTGGTTGTCTGGCTCGAAGTAACTATAGATTTCAGATGATTTTGGGTAACTTCCAAATGTGATTTTTACTAGTTTTTTTTGTTTGTTTGTTTTTGTTTTTGTTTAGCTGAATCATCTATGTGAAGTGGAAACTTTATATTTAAATAAGCTTTGGCAACATTTGACTGCTTGTTCAACAAAAATTTTATATGGTCTTCTTCACTAACTGGGGTGAATATTTTCATTCATGAAATTGGAGTAGTATGACATCAAAAGACAGCTCAATTATTTTCCTTTAATGAACCATTTTAGAAATAGCAATGAAAGGTTTTGATTTTGGAAGGATGTTATTATATCATTTGTAGTGAATATCCCTGTACTTTGTCTCTTTTTGTTTCCTGAATTAGGATGCCCTTAGTGTATACAAGGAAGCAATTCAGAAAATGCCAAGGCAGTTTGCTCCACAGAGCTTGTACAACATGATGGGTAAGTGAAATGTAATACTTTAACTCATTTTTCAGAAATTAAAAGAAATTAAAATCTGTGCTTCTGTAAATAGAATTCTAATAACTCATATCCTTAATCCTCATCCACACATACAGAAAATCTTATTCACAGTTGGGTGATATACATTCAAATTTTCACAAAAACACGATTTTTCTTTTCTTTCTTTTTTTTTCTTTTTTAAAGATTTTGTTTATTTTTTTGACAGACAGAGATCACAAGTAGGCAGAGAGGCAGGCAGAAAGAGAGAGAAGGAAGCAGGCTCCCTGCTGAGCAGAGAGGCCCGATGCAGGGCTTGATTCTAGGACTCTCAGATCATAACCTGAGCAGAAGGCAGAGGCTTTAACTCACTGAGCCACCCAGGTGCCCCCTATTATTATCTTTTTTTTTTTTTAAAGTAAATTCTACCCCCAGTGTGGGGCTCAAACTCATGTCCCAGAGATCAAGAGTAGCTTGTTCTACTGACTGAGCCAGCCAGACACCCCAGCAAAGCACTTATATTCTAACAAGAGCTAATGAAAACATATCAACATGGTGATTCTTAACAAATTGGCCACATCCCAGAGTTGTTGCAAGGTACGCACAAACCCATTTGGATATTGAGTATTAGCTAGACTCTAGAGATTGAAAATGGTGAATAAAGTTTTATATCTTAATAGTTTATCGAATTCAAGTTAATACTTAATAGTGTTATTTTCTGAATCAGAAGTTTCCCCCAAATATACATGGTATGATTTAGAGAGTTATGATTTTGAAGATGAGAATAGAGAGTCATGATTTAAAAGATGAGAATAACTGAACCAACTTGTACGGTTTTCATTGATAAGGTTTTGGATCACAGTAGGTTTTTCAGAGTATTATTTTAGAGTAAGAACCGTATGTGAAGAAGGTAAATGTGCTACTATTATCATTCCTTTTCTACGTTGAATAATTAGTTTAGTTGTCTTATTAGTCAGATAGTATGTAAGTTAGGACATGGATTTTTCTAGGTGCAAGAGGTCAGGATCTAGAATTTCTAATGAAATAATCCACCTATCGTCTGTGATTGCTCTGTGACTGCCTTATATAGTAAATTGTTACCATATCTGTTTGATAGTAGATACCACTGAGAAAACTGCCTATTCAGTATGTGACTCTTGGAAAAGAATCCCTACAGTTTAAAATGCCCTGCTGATTGATTAGCTTTGCTATTTCCACATAAAGGAGAGGAAAAAAAGTTGCTTTTGTCTTCAAATCAAATATTTTTCTCCAAAGCACAAACTCACAAACTCAGATTTTTCTTTTCTCATTAAACTTGGTTAAGTTGTTTACTATTTCTCTGCATATAAAATAAATGAGACTATGTAATCTTTCAGATTATTTGATGCTTCTTTTTTTAAATAATATCTTATTGAAAGCTAACTTTTAAAAAATTTTATTATGTTATGTTAGTCACCATACAGTACATCATTGGTTTTTGATGTAGTGTTCCATGATTCATCGTTTGCCTGTAATACCCAGTGCTCCATGCAATACATGCCCTCCTTAATACCCATCACCAGGGTCACCCATCCCCCCCCCCCCACCTAAGTGGTGTAAGGTGGTATCTCAATGTGGGTTTTGATTTCTCAAACTCAACACCCAACAAACAAATAATCAAGTCAAAACTTGGGCAGAAGACATGAATAGACACTTCTCCAAAGAAGACAGACAAATGGCTAACAGACACATGAAAAAATATTCGTCATCATTAGCCATCAGAGAAATTGAAATCAAAACCACATTGAGATACTACCTTACACTACGTAGAATGGCAGAAATTGACAAGGCAAGAAAAAACAAATGTTGGAGAGGATGTGAAGAAAGGGGAACCCTCTTCTACACTGTTGGTGGGAATACAAGTTGATGCAGCCACTTTGGAAAACAGTGTGGAGGTTCCTCAAAAAGTTAAAAATAGAGCTACCCTATGACCCAGCAATTGATGATTCTGTGATTTGAGAAAATTGATAGTGGCTGTTTGGCTTGAGCACACACAAAAAAATCCCAAACCTTTCCAAACTAGAAAATACATGGCTAGGAAACATACTCACTTTCTCTTTTTCCTAAATAAGAAAAAATTCAGAAATAGTTTAGAAATAGAATGAGGCACAGGTCCGTAAACAGAAAAACAAACAAACAAAAAACATAGTTTGGCAAAGGTCAATATTTTCATTTCTTGTGTCAGGGAATCCCAGCCCCCGGTTAGCCCATAGAGCATTGGAAGGATTTTTCACTCATGTGGAAGAGGGCCTGGGGTAATTTTAGTTGTGGTTTCTTTTCTCTTCTCTTTAGTATAATTACTAAATTACTAAATTTCTCTTCTCTTTAGTATAATTACTAAAAGGTTAAAATCTAGCTTCATTAAGTGTTCTTTTGCCATCATGCTCTTAAGAATTAAAGCAGTAGCTTTCACTCTCTAGCATTTTACCATCAATCTATCTACCCAGCCCACTTACCCACCCATATACGTGTCCATAAAGCTTTGTGCCTAGTGTATAGATTTGTCAGTTGAATTAACTTTTCTGTATTAATGCTGGATAGTTACTCATGTCAAAATGAATATTACAAGGATTGTTTTCTGTAGCTTTCTCTAAGGAGGCACAGTGGTTTTCATTTATGATTTTATTTTTAAGGTGAATGCATTGGAGGACCTTCTTCCCAATTTTCCTGAATTATCAAGTAAGATGTCTTTCTTTAAATGAGGAAAGACTCAGCTCCTTGGCAACGGACTGCATCTGGCATCTTTATTGTTAATAGGAAGTGTGGTACTCACTATAGTTAGTGATTGCAGAAAATTCATTCAATTATTTTATGCAAATAAATTTGATTGAAAATTCAGCTGGTACCTTGGGATCTGACTCTCATATGGTTACACAGATGCTGAGCACACACAGGCAGCCAACGATAAGTGTGTCCCTGGGGTTATTGCTTAGTCTTTTGTCTTATTTTTCATCATAGAAAGAGGTCATTTCACCCAGACTCTGAAAAGCACTCTAACAATTTGCAAGGGGAGAATTCCAATATAATTTAAGATTCCACATTTCTTCCGTAATTATGGTGGCTGCCTTCTGTTTAATTTTAGGTGAGGGTCTATCAGCTGAGCAGGTTTCGTAGTTCCAATTGTTCACGAAACTATAATTTTCTCAGAGTGAGTTCACCTCCTAATCAAATGGGTGAAATCCTCCGAGTATTTGCTTTAACTCCTAATACATTTTGATTAGCCTCCATTTGACAAGAGAAAAAATGGCCCGGGAGATAAGCTGCCCTATCAGTTCATCAGTTTCATTAGTCTGTCAGCGTGTGCTGATTATCCTATCAAGTTTATCAACAGCCTTGAATGTGTCTTCTAATTCCCACATTTACATATTATTAGTGCCCTTTAGGGATCAGTGATGGATTATAATGTCTGTCTAGATTCAGCCTGTAAGTATGCATTTTTCTCAGGGCTCATTCAGTGACACTTTCATGACCACCGACCCCCCCCCCCCCCCCCCCCCCCCGCCAACAACCAGACACTTGTGTTTATATATACAAATATTCTCCTTTTTCCATTCTGTTTTCTAGTTTATTTGGAGGTTAGGAGCAATAAAGGAGTGTATGTGAAAAAATACAACTATATTTGAATGTTCTTTTTAGTGTCATAACTCAATTCATTGCAGTTGCTTTTTTAAAAAACAAAACCAAACTCTCTAGGTCTTTGCCTTTTCTCATCCTTTGAACATTTTATGAGAAACTTCTATTCTGTATGCTACATGCCAGTAGTCGACTTATCCTGAAACCAAATGAGCATATTTTCCCATTTGTGTATTAACAGAAAATAACAAGTTTGATTAATTTGCTTCCCAACTTAAATGTTTCTATATTTTATCCTGTGGGTTTTTTTTGTTTGTTTTTGTTTGTTTGTTTTTTGTTTGTTTTTGGTTTTTTTTTTGTTTTGTTTTGTTTTTGATTTTTGGTGGCAATGCCTAAGTAAACTTAAAAAAAAAAACTATTTAAAATATATTTTCATTTTTCTCTTTGATATCATAGAACCATAAAGGAGATCCTAAGTATTATTTTATAAGTAAATAAACTTTCAGCTAGGTGGCTTTTGTAATTGGCAGGGCATTTGAATACATGAAATAAGAGATCACATCACAAAATAACTGTTGAAATTGCTCCTAGCCAGTTCTGTCTTTATTTCTGTGGGCCTCAGTTTCTTCTTGAGACAATAGCTAGGGTTAAATGAAGATTCGCTATGGTATGAAGTCAGATAGGTTCACATTATGGCTTTGACACTTAAGATAAGTGACTTTGAGCAAAATACTTAACTGAAGCTTCCCTATCTATAAGATGGTCATAATAGAAGCATGAGTTTGAGGATCGATCTTAGTGAAAAGTACAGCATTTTGGACCAAATGCCCAACATGGTGGGTGTTTCATATTACCGTCCATTGTAGTCACTGTCTTTTCTGAAGGCCTGTAAGCCCCAAAAGTCTTTGGTTGTATTCTGTCAGGTCTTTTTATATTTAGCAAAGTGAGTATGATTTCTTTATAAAGAAGATTTTGTCTTAGTGATGACATTCAACAAGGATTGCGTTTAGTTCTGTCCTGTCTACAGTTTTGGGTTTTTTCTCATGAAGTTCATTTTCCTTTGTCTCTCAGCATCCACAGTCACAATCCATCTTGTAGCCTTAGCTATGCTAACCTGAAGTGAAACAGCATACTCAGCTAATGCCCAATTGACTTAATTCCATTAATAGAGTACACCCTTTAAATTAAAATTGTCATATTTAGGTTAGATTTCTTCTCCTTTCCTGTCAAGACATATTTTTTCCTCTGAACTTAGTAAAACTTTTTCTTTTTTCTGACATCCATTGTAGCCCTTGATTGAATCTTGGTTTTTCCTCTTCTCAAATTATATTTTATTTTAGGATCATAGAATGTTAGAGATGGAAGATTCTTATCTTGAAAAGTCCTCCTAA